CCACCAAACAACTCAGCGTAAATATCGTCTGCATCCCTGGGGTTAAACCGGAACGAGGGATTTGGATGGGGCTGGGTACGGAAATGGTGCGGCCCTCCCCGCGGTGGCGGAGGGACCTGCCCGGACTTGAGCGCCTCCTCACCATAAAGATCATAAATTTGGCGTTTCTGCGGATCGCTAAGAACATCATAAGCCTCTGAAATCTGTTTGAACTTGGCCTCTGCCTCGTGCTTTTTGGCGCCGGGGTTCTTATCAGGGTGCCAGATCATGGCGAGGCGACGGTAGGCTTTGCGCAAATCATCGTCGCTGGCGTTCCGGTTAACCTTGAGAATGTTGTAGTAATCGACCCCCATATTCTACAGCGGCGTGGATGGGTGGCTGCGGTAGAAAGCAAGAGAAGAGAAGTGTGTCAGAGAGTGGCGGAGCTACGGCGGAGGATAAACAGCAGCAGCAGCTTTAATATGAAACAGGTTAAGGAAGGTAATAGAATCTGTTTCTGGGTTTTTCTTCTTCTTCTGACTCTGTTTTCCGTTGATGAATTTTGTTTCTTTCTATGTATTGAATTTGAAAGGACGTGTAACGTGTCGAATTGTGAAGGCCGCGGACTCCCCCATTCAGTGGGTCTCATTCCATAACTTAGCCGTGTTTGGATCAGTAATATCAAAGGATCTATGTAAGCATGATCTCCGTATACTTGAGGCCTGTTTGAAATTGTTTAAATGACTGAAATTTAATTTCTGAAATGAAAGTGTTCGATAATATCTTGGTTGAAGTGACGATTGAATATATATTTAACGAAAAGGATATTGTTACCATTTATATTAAATATATGTATGTTAGCTTAGCCACTAAAATCTTTTCATGAGTATGAAATAATTAATTTTAAAAATTACATTTTTTATTTAATTATATTAACAAGCTCACATGTAAATAATGAACGGATGATGGAGTACTATGCATGTAATACCTAATTAATAACAACTTACCTTGCTTTTAATATTTATTTTACACTCAGAATGTATAGCAATCGAATTTCACATTACTGGTGAGTCCTAAATACTCCATTCCTAAAAACACTATTGACCAAAAGGAAGCATCAACGTAAAAAAAGATGAGGAAAAAATGTCTTTTGATAAGTTAATGGTATGATAATAAAATTCAGCCAAAAAAGTAAGTGTTGCGTTACTTTTTGAGCTTATAATAAATATCAGTCAAATCAGCCCCTTTAAGGGGTGTTTGGTGATTTTTTTCAACATTCAGACTTATAATCCCATTTTTTGTCTTCCAAACGGCCACTTATAAGTATTGGAAAAAATTATGGGGTATATTTATAAATATTGATTTTTACAAGATTTTTTCGACATATATACATATATTATACAAGTATTTTGTTTATTAATGATATCGAAACATTTCACATTATCAAGATAATTAAAAATGAATTCATACTTTATATCATATACGGTAGTGCATTTCAAAATATAAATATAATCAATAAGTCACTAATTTGAAATTAGAAACAAGTCAAACAACTATAGTTTGAAATTAAAAGTGCAATGATGGATAGTGTAGCCGGGGTATATATCCGAGGAGTTACTGCGGGGAGTAACTTAGAGAGAAGTCAGAGCAAAATAAGCAAGAGAGAGTGAGTTCGAATATGTGAGTTGTGTAATTAAGGCGTGGTTTACAAATGGGGAAATGAGTGCTATTTATAGCAGCAATAAATGCTAGACAGGGACACGTGTCAAGTATCCGATGGCCGAGGGACGCATGTGAAGAGGAGATTCTGTCGAGGAAGACGCCTTCAGCCAGGGTGTTGGGCCGAAGGCTCTTATACCGGGGGCCTCCCAGTGCCGAGGGCTTCATATGCCGAAGGCTACTGATTTTCACCGTTCTTCTCCCAGTAGCTTCGCGTGCCTTTAATCAACTGCTTGGTCAGATTTTGGAGCCCTCGGCCATGGGCCGAAGGGGGGTCCATATGCGAACCGTGGTCCTCCTGATGTTTGGGCCGCTGTGATTTGGGCCTGTTGTGTGTCTTGGTCCAGTTGGGCCTGTATTAGAATAGTAGGAGTCTATGGGCCGAGGGTTCCTAGGCCATATACACCATCATGAGTCCCTCACTCCTTTTGCCGAAAGGTGCTTGAGGGAAAAGGAGTAATTGTGTTTGTCCTCTGATGTTGCTTTCTTGTCATTTGTAAAAGTGGTGAGGAGTTTTGCGCTTGCGTGTTTGTCGAGGGCAGTCCCTCAGTCCCCCAAATTTTGGGGTCAAAGGAAAATTTTGACATTTTGTATTTTTGTGAATTTCCCGAAGGGGTCCTCCAGTCCCCCACTCCTTGAGGCACATGTAATGTGGTGAAAAGGAGTAGGGTAGTGCCTGTTATTAGCATAGGGCTGAGGGCCTGACTCTTTTTGTTTCATTTTGGGGGGATGTCTCGTTAAAAACCTCATTTGGAAAAACCCTTTGGGAAAAATCCTAATGAGGGAAAAAGAGTGCACCGAATTCCCCCAGTGATGAATCAAAAAGGTGAGCCTTGGTTTGAGATGAAGAGCGATGTTGCCGCCGAGAGCTATCCGTGATTTGAGGGTTTGCTCATTGATTTTGCCGAAGGCTCCTCGTTGGTGTCCTGGTGATGCCGAGGGGAGTGACTGTTGGGAGCACTCCTCCGAAGGTGTATGTAGTTGATAAGCATGAGTGAGCATTCCGGGGACTGCCGAGGGTAGTCCCTCAGTTATCGAGGGCTGAGGGCGTGGTGAATGTAGACGATAGTTCATGTATTGCCGAGGGGGGTTCCCTGGTTGTCAACCTTTGAGGGTTACAGGTTCCCAAGGGGTTCTCCCATTTTGATGCTGGGGGTTCCTCTTGATGAAGGATTATGAATATGATATCCCGAAGGTTGGCTCATTTGTTGCACGAAGGGTGTTTTACCGAGGGGCACATCCAGGTTTTTAGAATATAGTCGTTGGAATATGACCATTGGAGAGGGCTTCCACGTGGCACGTGCTCGTTGGCTGTCTGCTGGCGGGTGTCATCGGTTGGCGGCGGCGACGGCGTGTAATGATGATTTTCCCATCGGGGGCCCAGTTTTTGGCCCGAGCCCGGAGTGGGAGGCCTATAAATACCCCCAAGGCCGGGAACCATCCCTTGTGCGATCATATTGTAGCAAAGCTCTGCCGAAATATTTCTAGAGAGAGAAAGTGCTAGTTCGATCCAATCTTCGTTTCTAAGGTCAGTTCTTCATCCGTTCTTCGCATTTCTTGCACATTTTGCTTTCTCGGTCTTAGATTAGATGTTAGTTGATCCTTAGGCCTTCCATTACCTGTAACTCCTCGGTCCATTCTGTCAAAAATGTCGTCGGCCAGTGACTCCCAAAACCTGTCCCAAGAGCCTTCGGGTCAGGCTGAGAGCTATTCGGATGTTGGGTCCTCATCCGATCATCCTTCAGCGAGTGGTGACACTGTTGTGGCCATGGAGGTGCAGAGAGACCTCGTTGCCGAAGCCGAGGCCGAAGAGTTCGAGCAGGTGTGTGAAGACGAGGAATTAGCCATCGCCTTCCAAGTAGTTGAGGAGGATGCACAAAAGGAGAGGATGAAAGTCACAGTCGCTGTCCCACCCCCTCGAAACGATGTCGTGGCCGGAAGTTCAAGGCCTTTGAACCTGATGCCTCTGAGGGTGGCCTCGGGGAAGAAAAAAAAGAAGGCGAAGGCTGCTCCAAATAAGAAGCAGGCTGCCGTTGATGCTGGTCAGCCGGTGGGCATACCCGAAGGCCATTCTTATTTGGATACTGCTGCCCTGGAGCTGGAGACGAGGGCCTCCTTTGCAGAGTGGTGGAACCGGGGTCAGACGACTTGCTGCTGCATGCACCCGAGGGCTGCTTTGCTGCCCACATTTTGTCAGTGGAGATGGGGCTCCGATTTCCGTTACACCCCTTCCTTTTGGAGTACCTGAGGTTCGTGGGGCTGGCCCCCTGCCAATTGACGCCCAACAGCCACTCCTACATAGTCGGCTTTCTTTCCCTGTGCCAGAGCCGGGGGGTGCCACCCACCTTGGACCAATTTTTCCTGTCTTTCAACCTGTGCCGAGGGGGCATTCGAATGTTGGGGGCTTCTCCAACTTGCAGCAACTCCCCAAATTTAGGCTTTTTGATGATGTGTCTTCGTCCCACAAGGGATGAAAGGACAAGTTTTGTTACCTTCATCCGGCGGAGAACCCATTCCCGGCCCCACTTCGTAACAGCTTCCGGCGGCACGCGAAGGCGGCGGCTGGTATCCTTGATAAGAAAGACAAGATACTCGCCAAGAAGCCGGAGGGGTCTGAGAAGCATGTGAAGATCAAAGATGTTGCCCTTCCGAATGAGCTGTTCAAGCTTGGCTTCCGGCAGTATCGACCGAGAGGCTTGGAGGATGAAAGATACCCTCCGATAGATCGTGTATTTGAGAGTGTCAGAGGTGATTACCGAAGGGTTATCTGTTTTGTACTTAGATTTTTTTTTTGTTCAATCCATGTCACTGTAGTTGATCCCCTTCGGCCTAATCATTTGGTGTCGTGTCTTTGCAGGTAACAATATGGATGTGAACTCCGTTTTTTCCCTGAAGAAGACAAAGGGGAAGAAGAAGGACCCCTCGGGTCCGAAGCCGGTGGGTGCTTCCCCCAGGGAGGAGCCCTCCCAAGCTGCTGTCACCGGTGTTGGTGCCAGGAGTTCCAAGGGCGAGGGGGCCCTAAAGAAGAAGAACGACGGTAAGGGGGTTGAGCCCCTGGCCAAGAAGCTGAAGGCCACGGACTCCGGCAAGTAGCCGGCCGCTGATGTTGTCCTCATCGAGGACGAGGGGCATGCCTCCAGCCCCATCCCTCAGGAGCGTGTCCACCAAGACTTCTTCGGCTGGGAGAAGTTAGAGGCAATTGTGCCGAAGGGGGCCTCGATCCTGGAAGGTAACCTCAGCCCTTCGGCACTGGTGAGCCAAGTGATGCCTTCGGCTGACAGGCTGGCTCTCGCCCGGATGAATGATGAGGGCCTCAACTCGAGGATCCTTCAGAATAGTGCCTCCGTGAGTTGCTTTTCCTTATCATGTTCATTTGCTTTTGTGGGGGGTGTAATGCATGCACTGTGTCTGACCCCTTATACTTTTACTGTTGCAGGCCTTCATGGGACTTTGTGAGCACTTACGGAGGGTCGAGCAGATGATGGAAGCTAGGGGTGCTGCCGAGGAGGAAGCTGCTAGCATCAGAAAGAAGCTGGCTGAAGCTGAGGACTCCCTTCGCCTGGCCACCGAGAGCATGGAGCAGCGGGTGCGGGCTGCTAAGGCCGAAGGCAAGAGCGAGGGCTTGGCTGAGGCCGGGGAAGCAGCTGCCGAAGCCGCCCGTGTTGTTGCCAAGGAGGCTGAGAGGGCAAAGGCCGAGGAGGTGGCCAAAGCTGAGAAAGCTGTTGTGGAGGCCTTCATTGCCGGTGGCTGGACCGCCGAAGACAGAAGGGACTGGGTCTCCTCGGTGGTTGAGAGGAGTGTGGATGCTTGGGTGGGAGGCCCCGACAAGATGTGGCTGGCCGAGAGGGGCGACTCATATTACCAAGGCGGGGAGTTCTTCACTCAACGTCTTATCTATCGGAAGCTGGCCCAACACTTCAATGTGTCCCCGAAAGATTTTAAGCCGGAGGCCTACGGTCTTCCCCCTCGGCAACCGGACGTTAGGATCCCCCTCCTCGAAGGCGAAGAGAGGCCGGTGCTAGAAGACTCTGAGACTATGAGGGAATGTGGCCTCGGTGATGATGAAGACGATGCCGAGGGCGGTGCCACCTCCAAAGCAACTGAGGAAGGAACCGCTGAGTAATTTGTACTTGTAATTTTTTTAGCAATCTTTGTAAAAACATTCTGTAGCTTTCGGCCGATGTAACAAACACTTAACATTGTCCTCCTTTTCTTCTATGTATAATGCGTTCGGGCCTTGTGATGTATGAACTTGCTTTTTCTTTTGATGAATGAGTGCATGGCTTATGTCTTCGTTCTCCCTTTATGCTTTCTCTTGTTTTCGTATGAATGCATCTTTGCATGGTGAATTGGCCGAAGGCTAATCAATTAGGACTTAGGAAATTTTCTAAGCGTAGTTCCATCGCTTGGCCTTCGTTGTATGATGAGTTGACCGTGGGCCAACCATTTAGGACTTAGTGAATTTTCTAAGTGTTGTTATACCACTTGGCCTTCGGTTAATAGACCCCTTTTGCTGTACGAAATGTAGTGGCCTCCGTCTTAGGCCTCCGGGGATCCACGACGAGGGCATGCCCTCGGCTTGTAGCAGTTTTAGATAAGATTTCCCTTGGTGAAGTATAGTGGTGCCGGGGGGCACTTCAGATTGTGAGCACAGAAAAATTCCCATGGCCTTTACAGCTAGCAGCCGTCGGTAGAAATGTGGAGCGAGTCAGTTGAACCTTGATCCACTTGTAGGGAGGCATCCCCCGTTGTTTAATGTAGTACCGGAGGTAATCACGTTAACGAGCAATCTCCTTCGACAATATATATAGTGGGTGCCCTCGAACTCTGTTCATCACGTGAGGTGAGCCTTCGGCTTTGGTGAGTTCCCAACGTGTGGACTTAACTAATTCTGTAACCCAGCCATGTCGTAGTTAGGGCGAGCGCCTTCGGGAGTGTTCTTGGAACTGCGCCCTCTGTTAAATATTACAGCCTTCGTTATTGGTTGATGCCGGAGGCAACCAAATTGTGGACTTAGCCAAGTTTTAATAACATTTCTTGTTTGGTAGCCTTCGGAATAAGGGCCAAAGCCAAAGGTGACTTCTGGAATTAGCAGCTTCCAGGTATCGGAGGTGTTCCCCAGGGAGCCCTCGGTATGATCTGGATTGCCTTTGGTTGAGTATCATTGCTGGTTGCCGAAGGGTGTCCCTTCGTGGACTGTTGGAGTTTTGTACTCATTGATTGCTCTTTGAGTCTACTCCCCTTCACCCCATTATGTTTTTTGGATAGTGAAGGGAAGGCTTCAAGAAACTTGGTTTCTTGGTAAGGCTTGGCCTATGGGGAGGCAACAGTATACACCGTTAGCTCCCCCCTCAGGATTAACTTCCCGGATTCCGAAGGGATCGAGGGTCGTTTCCTCGGCACGAGACATAGCCTGTAGCCTGCCTCCCCTTGGGGGATGGCACGGAAAGCGCCTCAGGTTTGAAAGTCGTTCCCTCAGCACGAGACATAGTCTGTGGCCTGCCATACCCTTGGGATAATGGCGCAGGAAGCGTTTCGTTTTGAAAGTCGAATCCTGGGCATATTAGCTGCCTGCCGTTCCCTTGGGGTAATGGCGCGGAAAGCATTTCAGGGAAGGGTTTTATTTTCATATTAGTTGTAAATGGCCGGGGGTACTTGGTGCCGCCGGGACCGATAGGTGACGCCTTCGGTATAAATGCTTCCTCGAGGGGGTACGACTTCAAAAATAACACTTGGTGTTTATTTTTGCACACACCCCCGGTACTTGGTACCGAGGGGTCTTCGTTAAAAACACTTGGTGTTTTCTTCATTGTCGTAGGTGATTGGAGTGTCTACCCTCGGCACTTGGTGCTGAAGGGTCTTGCTTGTAATAAGGCCTTGGGCTAGGTGCTTGTATGAGGGCTTGGCCGCTCACAAGTGTTCTGTTCTTTGTGCTTGGTGCCTTCAACATGCCTTTATTCTCGAAAAGTTGTGGGGCCTTGGGCCTCCAGATAATACATTTGTTAGTTATGAGGGCTTGGCCGCTCTAATGTTACTGATAAAATTTCACCAGGTGATGTACATTCCAATGTCTAGGGACCTTGGTCCCATTGGGGCGTTTCAGTTTGTAAGTCCCTGGTTTAATGATAGTTGTCACGATGCAGGGGCCCTCAAATTTTGGTGCCATCTTGCCACCCTCGGTTGGTTGGCTAGCTTCTCTTCTCCGGAGGACATAGTCCCCCACCTGAAATTCTCGGGAACGGACCTTGGCATCGATGTACCCCTTTACTTGCCTTCGGTAGTTCTCCGCCCGTATGAAGGCTTGCTCTCGACGTATTGAGATGAAGTGAAGGTCGAGAGCCATGTTGGCGTCGTTAACTTCTGGATCATATTGGGCCACCCTTCAGGTAGGAAGGGTTACTTTAGTGGGAGCCTTGGCTTCGAATCCATAGCAAAGGGAGAAGGATGTTTCACCCATTGCCCGCCGAGGGGTGGTGCGGTAGACCGATAGGATGTTGTGAAGTTCTTCTACCCAGCCTCCCCCTTCGGCCTCGAGCTTCTTCTTCAGGCCCTCAAGCAAAGTTCGGTTGGCGTTCTCCACTTGACCGTTGCCCTGAGGGTAGGCAACGGATGAGAAGGTATGCTTGATGCCCCATGCCTCTAGGAGGGCACAGAAGGGGGCTGCCTCAATTTGAGTCCCGTTATCGGAGATGATTTGTTGAGGGACGCCAAATCTTGTGAGGATGTTCGTGAGGACAAAGGGGCGGCATCTGGCTTCGGTAATGTTGGCGAGGGGCTCAGCCTCCACCCATTTGGTGAAGTAATCAATGGTAACGATGATGTACCTGTTGTTGGAGGTACCCCTCGGCAGAGGGCTCACAATTTTTATGCCCCATCTAGAGAAGGGTATGGATGTACTGATAGGGGCATAGTTGACTGTTGGCCTGCCGGGAGCCTTCTGAAAGTGTTGACAGGCAGCACACCTTCGGGCGAGATCTGCACAATCTCGGGCCATCTTAGGCCAGAAGTATCCTTGGACTATGAGTCTTCGGGACATGGAGTATGGTCCCTGGTGAGCTGAGCAAGTGCCACTGTGCACTTCTTCCATCGCGACTTCGGCCTCGTCTTGATGAAGGCATCGGAGTAGCGTGTCGTTGTAGGAGCGTTTATAGAGCCTTCTATCTTCGAGGGTATAGCTAGGAGCCCTCAATCTTGCTAGTTTGGTGCGGGCTTCATCCTCGGGCAGTTGCCCTGTGGTGATAAAGGCAATGATGTCAGAGATCCAGTCCTCTTGCCTTTGATGGATGTTCATGACGGGGCTGACATGTATGCTGGAGAGGCTGAGTTCCTCAATCTTTGCAATCTTAGATATGTGTCTAGGGGACTCGGCCGAGAGCTTTGATAAAATGTTGGCCTCGGAATTTTGAGCCCTCGGTATTTGAGTGAGAGAATGTGCCTCAAATACCTTAAGCAATTCCTTGGCCGCTTCCTTGTACTGCTTCATCCTTCCTTCCTTGGCCTCGTACTCCCCTGGAACTTGGCCGACGACTAACTTGGAGTCGCACTTCACGTGGATTTGTCTGGCCTTCATGTTCGCTGCCAGCCGAAGGTCACAGAGGAGGGCCTCATATTCCACTTCGTTGTTGGAGACTTTGATAGAGAAACGGATGACGTAATAGGTGCGGAAGCCTTCGGGTGTAATGAGAACTACCCCTCCCCCGCATGCCTTGGCTATGGAAGAGCCGTCGGTGTAGAGGGTCCACCATTCATCGCTGATCTCACCGTGCACTTCGTCACGAAGTCAGCCAGGGCTTGGCCCTTGATGGCCGGCCTCGGACGGATGTCAATGTTGTATTGGCTAAGGAAGATAGCCCATTTTACCATTTGGGAGGAGCTGGTGGGATCCTCATGAGGGCGCCGAGGGGTTGGTGAGTGAGGACCTAGACCGGATGGGCCTGGAAGTAGTGGCCTAATTTCTTGACGGTCCAAAGGGGAATATTTGAGCTCCGCTTCCCTGAGGGTCTTGCTAACATAGAAGATGGCATGCTGGACACCGTCTTCCTCCCGGATGAGGACTGAGCTGATGGCCGTCGGGCTGACGCCAAGGTAAAGGTACAGAGTTTCCCCTACCTTGGGTTTGGAGAGCACAGGGGGTGAAGATAAGTACCGTTTTAATTCGTCGAAGGCCTTCTGACATTCTGACGTCCATTGGAATTCGGTGGTCTTCCTCATGATCTGGAAGAAGGGGAGGGACTTCTCTACCGATTCGGATAGGAATCGGTTGAGGGCTGCCAGGCGCCCCGTCAACCTTTGGACTTCCTTGACGTTGCGTGGAGGCTCCATGTCGATGATTGCTTAGATTTTCTTGGGATTGGCCACGATACCCCTTCGGCTCACCATGTAGCCCAAGAATTTGCCTCCTTGCACACCGAAGGTGCATTTCTTCGGGTTTAGCCGAAGGTTGTACTTCTGCATGATGGCGAAAATTTCCTAGAGGTCGTCGGCATGACTCGATGATTGTTTGCTTTTGATGATCATGTCGTCAATATAAGCCTCCATGGTGCGCCCTAGGACGGCCTGGAAGACCCTAGCCACCATCCGGGTGTAAGTGGAGCCCGAATTCTTCAGGCCGAAGGCCATGACTAGGTAGCAGAAGATGCCTTCGGGAGTCATGAAGGCTGTTTTTTCGGCGTCTTCCTCGTGCATGAAAATCTGGTGATATCCGCGGAAGGCGTCGAGGAATGACATGATTTCGCATCCCACCGTCTCGTCCACCAATTGATCAATATTTGGCAGAGGGAAAGGGTCCATAGGGCACACCTTATTGAGATCCATGTAGTCCACGCACATGCGGAAGGTGGGTGGTT